TTGTCCAACTGAAGTACTTAATCTGGTGAATTTTTCTTTGACAAAAGCTTGGATACCTGCAGAATGGAAGCTGTCTAAAGTGATTCCACTTCTTAAAAAGCCGGAAAAAGGATTCGCCTTGGACAATGTAAGGCCGATATCAATCACGTCAAATCTGGTTAAGCTAATTGAAAGAGTTTTGAATGCCCGGGTAATGAAATATATTAATAATAACGCAATATTAAACCCCAGTCAAATTGGTTTTAGATCCGGTTGCTCAATATGGTGTGCGCATGTTGATTTAGAGAGCCGAATACAACTGGCTCGGCGTCGGCGCCAATACTGTGCTTTAGTTACTTTAGATTTGGCTAAAGCGTACGATAGGGTTGAGCATTCAATTTTATTAAAACAGATGGCATATCACCACTTTCCCAACTACATCACTGCGTGGGTGTCGGAGTTTTTAAGAGGGAGAGAATATTACTGCTTTAAAGATGGGTACTCATCGAATAGATATAGGCAGACACGTGGCGTACCACAGGGGGCTGTCCTGTCGCCAGTTTTATTTAACATTTTCTTAAGCTCCATTCCATCAACTAAGGATATTCAGTTATATGTGTACGCGGACGATATTGCTTTCTTCGCAAGTAATACCGACCTTCAATCATTATACGAGAGTCTACAAAATTATCTCAATATGATAGAAAGATGGCTTAAAAATATTCATATGACCCTGAACGTAAAGAAAAGTGTGCTCCTTGCATTCTCTTTTCTGCAGCCTATCAACATCTCGTTAATGTACTGTAATGAGCCCATTCCGCAGGCGAATTCCCTTAAATATTTGGGCATCATATATAATGACACATTAAATTGGAGAAGTCACATTGATGATGTGTACTCCAAGGCAACACGGGCCATGGGGTGGCTACGGAAGCTTGCAAACCGTAAAGCGGGTTTAAGAAGAGATGTGCTAATAATGATATATAAACTTTATGTGCGGCCCATCATGGAATTCGGATGTGTACTATTTTCTGGCAGCGCAGCCTATAAAATGAGACCCCTAATACTGCTGGAAAGAGAAGCGTTGCGTTTGTGTCTGGGTCTACCAAAGTTTGTTGCAAATAACGTGTTGTATATGGAAGCTCGCCTACCTTCTCTGCTAAATAGGTTCAAAATTCTTACTGTGCAAGCATTCCTAAAGATATACAGTTCACACCAAAGACTCTCATTTTACGCTTTCATTCAAGAACCGACTTTATTTTTCGAAACCCATTGGTCGCGACTACACACCCCGCAAATAGTATTTGCACAAGCGCTACTAAAGCAACTGAATGTAAAAATTAGACATATTGGTCCAATACACAACCTAAAGTCAATGCTTAGCATACAATTCGATGATATATTTCCTCATAACGCGAAACAATTGGCATATAGGTATTTAAATAACCAGTTAGCAGATTATCTAGCCCACCTAGAGATAAGCAATATCATAGCGACTGATGCATCTGTGTCAAAAGAAAAGGCTGGGGTTGGCATCTTCTCTCCTTCTTTGGACTGGTCTTTTTCGATTCGACTCCCAGATTATACCCCGGTATTCATGGCAGAATTATTGGCCATTGTTCTTGCCCTACGAAAATTACCCTCAAGCGAATCATTAGCAGTTATCATTACAGATTCGTTATCAGTTTGTAATGCACTTTCTACGGCAGTAAATTCAGAGCTGATGAATACGTTTCGGCATTTAGTACCGAAAAACGTAAAAAAACTGCATTTGCTATGGGTACCAGGCCACCGCGGATTATATTTGAACGAAATGGCGGACTCTTTAGCAGCAGTATCCCTGGGTGGGCCCACCATCCCAGTTTTGCCAGATACGGCTTACGTAACCGCGCTAAGGTTCCGAAATGCTTGCCTGCAATGGGGAAAAGGTAATTTGGATAAATTTAAAGATTTCGAGCATTTGAGCTATTGCTGGAATATACAGTGGTGTGTATCTCGCCAGTTAGAGGTCACTTATACCAGATTGCGCTGTGCAGTTCCACAACTAAATTATTACCTTAATAAAGCTCAGCTCAAGGCGTCACCGCTATGCATTTGGTGCAACGAAATTGAAACAATTGAACATTTCTTTTTATTCTGTCATCGTTATTCTTATCAGAGAAAAAGATTTTTAGTAGCCCCTTTACAAAAGCTAGGAATACAAGTAAATTTACCAGTAATTTTATCACTTGGCGGAACTTCATTTGGTTACTGCCACAGGGATGTATGCTCCGCTGTGTTTGATTACATCCACGCAACTAAAAGATTACCATGCTAGTGAACCACTACCTTTTCAGATCTTTAGTTTATTATTCGTAGTTATGTCTTTCAAAAACAAAAGATGGTTTGACCGCTTGCTCAGCACACATTTTTGTTTTTTGGTAGTATTATTTTAAGCTACTTTTTCAGATTGGCTTCATTTTCAGTTTAGTTTCATTTAAGTATCCTGCCGCCCGGTTCTTGGCCCATCCCCCTTTGTGGGTAAGCGCCATCTATCAAAGGTCATCAGCATCAGCATCAGGATGTCCTTTGTCACCGCTGTTATTCATGCTGTACATGGTGAGTATGGAAAAAGCGCTAGAAGGTAGCAACATTGGTTTTAATCTGTCACACAAACAGGGCGGCATGATGATTGAGCAGAAGCTTCCAGGTTTATTTTATGCGGACGATATCGTCTTATTTGCGGACAGTCGAGATGATATACAGCAGCTGGCGAATATATGCGGAAGGGAAGGTGAAGCTCTTGGACTAGGATTCAGTGTAACGAAGTGTGGATTGATGGTATTCAATGATCCCTGTGATCAGACGGTGTCCATACAAGGCCAAGAAATACCGAGGGTAAGTGAATACAAGTACCTTGGAGTATGGGTAAATGAGAGTGATAGATACATGGAGGTACAGGAAAAAGCCTCGGCAGCAAAAGGAAAGAGGAATGCGGCAATAATGAAGCACAGAGCGTTGTGGGGATACAATAGGTATGAGGTGCTTCGAGGTCTGTGGAAGGGTGTAATGGTTCCAGGGCTTACTTTTGGGAACTCAGTGGTGTGCATGAGGGCAGAGGTGCAATCGGGAATGGATGTAAATCAAAGGACTGTGGGACGCCTCGCGTTGGGTGCTCACGGGAAGACGACAAACGAGGCTGTAAAGGGCGATATGGGGTGGGCTGGTTTTGAGGCGAGGGAAGCGCAGAGCAAAATAAGGTTCGAAGAAAGGCTAAGAAATATGAAGGAGAGTAGATGGGCAGAGAAGGTGTTCCGTTATTTGTATAGGAAGAGCGTGGACACACAGTGGAGAAAAAGAACTAGAAGACTCACTAGTAAATATACGGCTGGTATTGTGAGCCATATGTCAACAAAGAGCGTTAAGGGAAAAGTCAGGGAGGCGGAGAGGATTTACTGGATGGCAGCTATGGAGAAAAAACCGGCTTTGAGTAACTACCGAAAGGGCAAAAATGAAATAAGGAGGGAGGCATTTTACGATAATTCAAGGGGAAGCGCTTTACTGTTTGAAGCGAGATCGGGTTGCCTTAGAACGCGTAGTTATAAAGCAAGATTCAGTAAAGAAGAAGAACAATGCACATGCTGCGGGAAAGATAAGGAAACGGCGGAGCATGTTCTGATTGAATGTGGAGATATCCACCCAGGTGTACGTTTGGGCACGAGCCTACAGGAAGCCTTGGGTTTTAGGGACAACAATGGAAAGCTGAACACACCCGCGATTGAAATAAGTAAGAGACGGTTAGAGTATTGGTGGCAGAAAATTAGAGAGAAAGGACAAAAATAAATATTGGAAAAATAAAATATGGACAGTGTGCCGTAAATGGCAGAGAACTTAAGCTGAAAATTTACCTTTTTTTCCATTAAGATAGAATTTATCGAAGTAGAGGCATTAGGCCAACATAAAAAAAAAGGTTTTTTGTTTTGTTTTTTTTTAGTCGAGCCTGGTGGCATACTTGTCGCCACCCCGTTATAAAGGGGACGCTCATAGCATCCATCCATCCATCCTGTTGGGTGGGGGCGCTGTCGGTTAAGAAGAAAGTGAAGGAAACGGAGACTGACATGTGGAGAATGGGCATGATTAAGAAGTCCGCACTAGAGATCTATCGAACATTTAAGCAGGAAATTGCCAAGGAAAGGATCTATGATAATACTCGGGGTAGTTCTCTACTGTTTGAGGCCAGGACGGGAGTACTGCGAACCAAGACATATCGGGCCAAATACGAAGGGGTAGACACAGTATGCAGTGCGTGTGGAGAGGAAGAAGAAACTGCCGAACACTTGATATTGTTCTGTAAAGGGCTTCACCCTATAGTTCAGGATGATGGCGCAGAGTTTTTCAAAGCACTGGGGTTTAGGGGCCGGGAGGGCAAAATAAACTTTAAGCGGGTAGACTTAACCAGAAGGAGGTTATTTGATTGGTGGCTAAAGTCAAGACACGAGTGAAAATTAAACTCTTCACTGCAAAGTACGAATCCTCAAACTCACTTTTTAAGGAAAAAAAATAAATATAGTTTTTTGTTCATTAGGTGTTACGGCTTGGTGGCGCTAGCCACCGCCCAATCTAAAGGGTACAGCCATATCCATCCATCCATCCATCCATCCATCCATCCTGTGCTTTTCTCGCGTCGTCTACTTGCCTCTGGGCGGGTAAATGATTCAACCGCGCTCAGTTTTACCGCTGTAGTCTTTTCAATTATGTTGTTGACGTCGAGAAACTTGCACGTGTAATCTACAAGCGCAAACCACGCAGCCGATACAGAGCGTGGGTTTCGCGGCCACTTCTTGCGAGGTGGGCGCGCTTGTCACGCGAAAAATAGTTTAGAGGAATCTCTCCCCCAGACCAGCAGGTGGCAACAACCCTGCGTGAGTCGCTCGCATATTTGTTATACACTTTCGATTGCAATAGTACTTTAAAGAGTGGAAGTCAATGCAGTTTATATGCAGTGCGGCAGAAGAATGCAATAAAGTACAAGACTACAAGACTGGTGGCTTGATACAAGTTTATTGGAAACAGTACATTAAAACATTACATAACACAGGGCTTCACCTTCTTGGCTTTATTCTGCACAGCATGCTGGTTTAGCCCTTTCAGCAGAAAATGGACACGCGTAATGCTGTAGAACCTGACAACCGATGTTGTTAAAGAAGCTGAATGCTCACTGCAGCCAATTTGTGGCACATTGGCTGCTAGGCGCAAAAAATCCTTCACTACTTTGGTGTGCAAGCACGTGGTGCTAAATGCACGAGTTAGTCTATCCTCAAGGGTTTTGATTAGACTATATAGACGGACAGAGGGGTAAAGAAGGCCCCCCATGTCCCACTTTTTACATGCTTCTGCTGGCAATTGATCCGTCACACTATCACGTGTGACGAGGCAGGCATCCTTGCAAGCTTCGCATTGGGTTGAGAAGATCCGCTTCCTGGCTACATATCCTGCAATATAATAGGTGAGGGCGGTCATCACTGCGTTCTTCAACGTAGTCAGCGTGGTCAATCGCAACCTCTGCTGCTTCGACAGGTAGTGTAACGTCGTCACAAGCTGGTGCTTCATTTTCAGACAGCTGATGGTCCTCGGACAGCAGGGCCTCCAAAAGTCCAGGAGATACGTTTGCTCCCTTGGGGCTTTTCGCCAAGCTATAAAAGCTTATGCACCTGCATATATACATGTAAATTATAAAAATTGATACTTTGGATTATATGCTTTGTATTTCAATGTACAGGACTGAAAATGCACAAGCATACTTGATTATGATAATGAACTGCGCAGGAGTTGGGTGATCGTTAGCTCCACTGGCCTGTCTAACGATACCAAAGGAACGCTCCAAACAGTCTTGACTGAGACGGGAGGTCATCAAAAACCTGAACCCAACCATTTCAGTGAGGTACTTCAGTAGGTCCTTCGCAGAGTGGATCGTCACACGTAGACCTTCTGCCGTGCTCTTGCTTAAGAAGCCGAGCCCTCCTGCATGGGCCTCCCACTGGTCGAGAAATTCCAGCATGTTGTCAAGTGCAGTTTCTTTAGTGCTGCCACGTCTGAAACATGAAAAGTATTTACGTCTTCACATGAAAATGAGCCCAGTTGGTGCACATGCCTCAGAGCTTCTGCTGGAAACCGCGACGTCATGGCGTCAATTGTTTGAGCCATCATGTTGATAAATACTTTTGTTGGCTCCAGATTTGGGTACTGTTGCTCAATTTTTTCTTTGTGAAAATCCATCGCGTGCTCAACTGCGCTACTGAAAATATAAAAAGCCAGATTGACCCTCATCTTTTCGAACCCACTAGGATATATGTGAGAACGTGTTAACTTGTGTGCAACTTTCAATGTGAAGGGACTGCTGTCGACCTTCCAAGTCATTGCCACATGTTCTCAAAGAACCTGCAAGAGTTCATAATGGTTAGTAAACCAGCTTTACCAGGTACCCAACATTTCAAAATATTATGAGAATAAAATAACACGCTTACTCGGCCCTTGTGTGTGTTGAAGCCATGCTTAATCATGATGTTTCGCACACATTTCACAAGATGAGGGAAGTCCGAAATAAAATGGAGGAAGCGCTTGTCGTCGCATGGATGTGTAACCTTACATTGTACATGTTTAGCATTTCTATGAACACCCATGTTGTGCCACATGGCACGGTTCCATGACGCGCCGTCCGTGCAGATGTAGTCCACATAAAGAGTAGCTTTCTCGCACAGAAGAACTGCTTCTAAAATTATTTTTGTCAGCGTTGGCGCCTTCACATTTCCATTCGAAGCAAAGACCCCTGTAGAAAAAAAATATTGCAGGTATGAGTGCAATTACAGAAAATAACAGTACTTTGATAAATGCTATTTACCAATTATTTGCGTCCATTTGCCCACAAAAGGCTGAAACATGACGACTAAGCCATGATCAGCCTTTGTGTGCTTGTCCTGAGCTCCAGTAAATTGTCCAAGGTTTACGAAGCCTTCAATATCCATGGATGACTTGAGGTCCAGGTGTGTAGAAAGTTTCATCTCGTCTATAACGAGGCCGCCATGTCTGTTCATTTCACTAGCCTTCTCCTTCACGCACTCAAGAAGCTTGCGACTAAAGCCATAAGATGCCTTGAAGGCCTGCGAATGCAAGATGAGGATGATTAAATTAGGCTGAATAAGAAAAAAAAGTGTAATCGTATACCTTGATGTACTTTTGGAGGCAGAAACGGCTTGGAAGTATAAGGATCTTATGAGCCCTGAGATGCTCGTATAAGCTCGGGCTCTTGATCCTTAAAACAATGCACTCTAAGAGCCACGCTTTGTCGTATCGATATCCTCGCATGGATTTCCGCTTCGATGCCTCAAAACATGCTCGGACTGCATACTGCTGCTTTTTCGGAAGCTGCTTGATCTGAAACAAATGCACGAAACAGGAAGCTTTATTTATGACGCTAAATATGTAAAAATACAGCACGTTACCTTTGCCTCAAAGCTGTTTTCGTTGATAGAGGAATTCCTTTGTCGTAACGTTCGTATGACCTCATGAAGGGTGCGCACTTTCTTACTCCGCTGCCTCAAAGTGCGAACGGCACATTTCAATCTCCTTCCCGCTGTCTTTACCAATGGGCGTCGCACCTTATTTTTTAAGCGCAGCAAACGAGCCATGAGGATTCGCCTCACTTTTCTGCACTTCAGACACCGCTGAGGCATATGGGCCGGCATACCTGGAAGAAACAACAAAATGGGCGACATGTGAAGTATATGAAATAATTTTTCACAGTTGTGATATGCCCAAGACGTATGTACCAAAACACAACATACCTTGTGACACAGATCCATCACACACAGCGGAGAACAGGCCATTTGCTGACAATGTTATGCAGTAAGACACATCTAATCGCTTAAACTCGCTGGTATTTCCCACTCCACAACACACAGAGAGTTTTTCTGCATACACCAGAAGCTTTTGGGCCTCTTCCTCAGACTCAACGGTGCGCTGACAGTGAAGGTGGCCAGCCAGGAAAATGGTGCAGGAGGGTGAATTTCGCTCTCCAATTTCGAACACAGCTATATTGTTGAAGGCAACAGGAGGTACTTTGTTTTTATGATGTTCAGCTGTTTGGTAACTCGCTATGTTTTTGTTTTGGAATGTCTGACGTGACCAATACTCCGATGGTAGTCGAAGACCAAAAATGAAGTGTTTCCGAGGTACTTCATCGTTGACTATGTCCAGTTCGTCATGAGGAATGAGCTGAACCGATTCGCGTTCTGAATCGTCAATGTCCTCGCGGCTCTTCTTTGCAGGCACGGAAGAGCCCTGTCCCATTCTCCTCTTCCTCTCTTTTGGCAGAGTTTTCGGCATATACTTTGGAAGGTTCGGTAAAATTGTTGGAATAGCACTCTCCTTAAGGGAAGGCACATCGCGTGGTATATGGACCTCCTTTCCATTCACAATGTGCACGTAGTGTCTCATGATAAACCTGAAAACATAATAAAAAATGAGCGTAGCCTCTGTAATGAAGACACTTCGGATTTCCAAGCAACGAAACAACAATTAATGCATGTGCTGCAGCGTTAGGTGACACACATCTAGCCGCGGGTCGATGGAGGCAGAACGCAAAACGCGCCCACGTGGAGCAACATGCCAATGTAAGTACAAGAACAACGGATCATCTGAATTAGTCTGGCTCTTTCCACTGCACTTCTGCTGCTCATGACCCGTGTGTCACACCGGGTCAGTGTGTTAACTTGTAGAAACCTCAACTTTTCTATATGCTTAAACATGTACGAATTCCATACGTACCTTGGGTCAAAATGCCTTTCGCAAACTGCAGAATTATCTTGCAGTGGCTTGTCGGCCCTTGGTATGGCACGTGCCCACTTTTCAAATTCATCCTCATGGGCAGGTGCACGAAAGAGAGACAGTCTTTCACCGCAGGACTTGTAGCCGGCGTCGCAACCTGGCACAAAGCACCACCTCTGCGTTTTTTTTTTTTTTTCCCGTCGACGGCATTCTTCAGAGCGGTTCAAAAATCGACGACAACCGCTGACATCATCTCCTTCAAGAAATCGGGAAGCGATAGAAAAAGCAGGCCGTACTTCGCGAACAGCGACAGCTTACTTGCGCTGCTCCGTCACCAACGAGACACGAGCAACACATGCTCACAGTCGGCACATGCCAACAGCACCCCAGACTGACGCGCCAAATTTCCCCCCAGCGGCGAGAACGCGCAGAGGGGCCTCGCTAGGCAAGAGGTCGCCGCCGCAGTCATCACACCTCCCCATTCTAGCCACCCTAAAGTGGCACACCCATTTGCCTAGTCTTCGCACTTGCGGGCGGCGAATCGTACTTGCGGCTTCGTTTATTGCTGTGTTTCAGTTTTGTTTTGAAAGAAAGATTGAACCCTTTTGAACTTTGTGAGTCAATTTAGAAAGTAAATCTAAAAAAATAAGGTGGTCAGGTGCAACCACTGAACATTTGCTGATTTTTGTTTTATGACAAAGCAGCTTCAAGCCACACGAACACACACGGAGCCAAAAGCAGGCCAGAAGTAGAAATATTAGACAAATGTGTGTCTACTACGCATCATTCCGTGCTACCACGCATCATTCCCATCATGATTCCCATCACGGAGGGAGGGGATTCTCATGCTCGCTGAAGCACCGTGCGTTGCAGCTCGCGTAGACACTAGCGCCTGATTTTCTGTTAGCGTATATTGGGAAACTATATGGCGCATACCTCTATACGGCGCGGTGCTTGGGACACTACCTCTATTGTGTAATTTTGTGCATTTTGTGAGATGAATAATTTATATTATTGTTCTGGTCATCAGGACACCACAAGGTGCCCACCAAATACAAAGGAGACGACCACAAACATCATCATTGTCATCTACTCTATGTCGTTCCTATCGCCTTTAACGTTCAATTACTTCAAAATTTATAACTCATATAAAGTAAAACTTTTGTTTAAAGTATGTAGTTTTGTTGTCGAAAATTGTTCGCTACTACACGTTTATTTTACCTAGAATCAAAACTCTGCGCAACCTCTTCAAGTCGTTTCAAGTCAAAATTGCTTAGCCGCTTGCAAAGCCGTTTTTGATTGGCTATTGTAAATGTGGAGAATATCATTGGCGGCTTCAAAACAGCGCTGTAGTGTTCGCGGCCCCGGCGGTGCCTTTAAATTGTTTCCCTTTCTTTATGCTTAAAGTCCTCCCTGGTAGGGATGGCGTATGGCACAATAGATTTGCAGTGGCATGCCGGGTCGTATCTCGCGTGCTGAACCGTTCAAGCGCAGATGATGGGGCGTTCCTATTACGCGAATCATCACAGTGGCCGCATGTTCAAGGCCAACTCTCAGCCTCGCTGAACCTCTGCCGCATCGTCAGTGAAAAGCATGCCCCCTTGCGCGACAACGAATTCTTGACATTTGTTGCGGCGCTTTTCTGGAAGTCTCCGCTGTCGCGCAGTGCTTGGACGAGTCACTGAGGAACCTGCAAAGACTGTGGGAAGTTTCAGGAGCATTGCCAACGATGAGCGAATTCAAGCAGTCTCTCGTACGGTGAGTTTTTTGTTTGTTTGTTTGTTTACAGTTTTAGTACAATGTATGATTGGTACGTGACACGAAGTAGTTGATTGGTATGAAACGCAGGCGTAGATTCAGAAGCTCGACTATTGTTGAGTAGTTGTGTTACATATAATCTCACACGTCCACGTTTAATAAATACGAGACAATGTCGCGTCTCCGATGCCTAACTTCGCCCTGTGATCTTCACTCATTTCTTTACTGAGAGGTCAGGCGAATAGGGAGAATTTTTCCGGGAGGGGTTGGCGTCATGCGTCATATTTCGCTTTGTATATGCTATGGCAAAAAAGAAGGGGGGGGGGGGGGGGGGAGTCGCGGGCCCGATGTGCCGCCCCTGACAACGCCACTAACTCGGGTCACAATTTTTTCACTTTTTTCGTTTAGTATTTTGATTTTTTTTCCTTTTTAGGCGTAATGCTGTGTTCGACTCGGCTCATTTGAGAGTTGCTGTCCCTCACGCCCAAGGTATTGTGCTTGGATAAGTTATACATCCTGCAGATCGATGCGGTGACATTCGGTGCATCGATGCGTGGGCAAAAGCAACTTCCCGGAAATTACGGAGCACACCCTGATTGCGGTGTGCTGGCAGTTTATTCTGGAAGTTGGCTTTTCTTTCAGAAATATGTGCTGCAGTAAATAACAATAAACAAAAGCTAGAATTGAAGGCAGAAGAAGGAGCCAGAGTTTGAGTGGTTTTCTGCTGTGGTTTAAGTCCCTGCTTCCATGTACTCCCGACATCTATTGACATCGATTCTCGACCCTAGTCCATCGTCCGTAACGATCTTTGCTTTTCATTTCTTTGAAACTGCCTGCACACAATGTTAATCGAATCCTTTTCTAGTGAAGACCTTCAGCATACTGGACACTTGCTGTGCATTCTTCAAATTTCTGACATTTTTGCATAGGCTTTCGAAATTTAGGTTCTGGAAAACATTATGGGAGTCTATAACAACAAATTTGCGAATCTGTTGAGGTATCTTAGGATATTATTGGCAACTATGGTATTGGATACAATTGCTGCTGTGGTATCAAGAAAGAGCATATATCTGCTTAAGTTCATGTGTGCAATCCCATTAGCCAACTAAGGAACTTGGTGCTTTTAGTAATTCCATCATGCCAAGTTTAGTAGTGGAAGAAAGTAAGCCAAGAGCAAAACATCTGTGCACTGCATCTCTTTCATTTTTAGCTGCCACTTTCTTCTTTCAGTGCAAGTGCAAAACAAAAGTGAGCTTTCTCTTACTATGTAACAAACTTAGCTTGTTTGGTTGGCAGGTTAGACTTTCATGCTGAGTATAATGAGAAGATAAAGGTTGGAAATAAGAAATTGTTAAACCCGCAATTTCATTGGAAAAGAAAATGTTGACTGGACAACTTGATTTTCTCCGGGACTTCACTGACAAAAATAAATCCCCTTGAAACACTTGGCAAATGTTTCAAACGAGGAGAGAGAAAAAGGCAGAAAGAGCATTAATTCTGAATTCATTTTATTGCCCATAAGCACATGGCTTTTGAAGACATCCGCAGGCCTAGACTGCTTTCCAGCATGCCCCTGAAAAAAAAAAAGGAGAGGCATGCCAGGGAATCAAGAGGCAATTAAAACAAAGACTGGTTTCCTAATATAAAAGCACTGAAATCATGCCTGCAGGTTGAAACTGGGCAACCATGCATGAATACACAAAGAAGGATTAAAATACAGTTCACAATAACAGAGGGCCATCTGACTGTTCATATTCACCATAGTTCAGCAATACCAGAGGCACGCTGACACAAGATTCGCCTTCCTTGCCTAACGGCTTCGAGCAGTCCGCTCGTCCAGTAGTCATGACCCGCCCTTTTATGGACTTTTTAATTTGCGGCTAAATTGTCTTTATGTTAAAGCTAGCGTGCATATCCTTCCAAGTGGTTGCATGTTATCAAAGCTGCAATACATAGCCACACAAGGTGCAGTGAACACTTTCATTGGGAATTATTTTACAAAAAATTGCTTTGGTGAAGGTTAGCTCATTCTAAAGCACTATGATGCATTTGCTTTTCAAATCTAATACAGGCAAGCCAAATATTATTCGGAGCTTGTGTTTACCCTACCTATGTATCATAACTACTTGACTTATTGAAAAATTAAAAAAAAACTCGTTTCTATCTAGCGCACTATCTTTGGCTGATCATTGATGTCGGGCTTTTTCATAAATTCACATTAGTACTCGGCCAAAGATTATATTTTGGATAGAAACAACTGACAGCCTCTTTCCTTCTTTATGGTGTCTTTTCTTTTCTTGTGCATGTTTTCCCGTGCATTATTATTCAGTAAATTAGGGGTTTAAACCAGCAGAGCGAAAACTCTTGAGCTTCACATCAGCTCAAGCAGGCACAGCTCTCTTACCGTCTAGTAATATATGTGGCTCTACGTGCCAAAAGCATGATGAGGCAAGCCATAGTAGAGGAAACTGAACGTGTGCTGGCATCGCACAAGGCCTGTGGCAGTTTGCCTTTTTCTAAATGCTGCGGCTGGGATTAACCTTTTGGGTCTGGCATCGCAACCACGGTGCCGTACGGAGCTCGAGGCTTTTGAAAAGGCTCTGAAATTGTATTACAATAGGATATACAGTATTGTATTGGAGATGGATACAAGGTACTACGAGCAACAGTCATATCCGATACGAAACTTTCCAATAGCATATTAAGATACCTCGATAGATTTGCAAATTTCTTGTTATAGACTCCCGTACTGAGGTACCAAAAGCCTATGCACAGAAATATCTGCTTGAAAATTATCTAAATATGACCATTGCATTTTAGTCAAACATTTCATCGTATCTCCAAGTTTTGTCCTTGCTCAAAGTACATTAGCTTAATTTTGAATGAGCTTATTAGGGTTTGCTTTAGCTGTTTAACAGGATGACTCTTTATACACGTCGCTAACAGCGGTTATTGTTTGTCATTTCTGTAATTGATGGGAGTCGCAGCTGAGTTGCTGACCAGGTAGCAGGTTGCCATCTAACCACATGAGCTTAAATATGAAGCTTTTGCACAATGGAATCAATGTTGGGGAACAGTTTTACCTAGTTCATAAAAGACCATGTATGCACGAATCACTGGTGTACAGCAGCAACAATGTCAGTTGCAACACATTTTGTGATGCATTGTCTATGTAGTAATAAGAACTGACAGACAATTATGCCAAGGAAAGCATAGGGGATAATAATAGATGTACTTGTAATGTAAGTGTGAAGAAAAGTGGAGGAAAAGATAAGTTGCGGTGAGCAGGAATCAAACCTGCGACCTTCGAATAACACTTTCGATGCTCTACCAACTGAGCTACCAAGGCGGCTATCTCCCCATCCACTTTATTCGGTATGCATGTGCATTAAACGTGGGAGGTTCAGTCAGCACCGCCCCTTGTCACTGCGGTCAGTGTGGACACTCATTTTTTTGCCTATTGGCGTCGCGTAGCATGTGATCTTATTACGAGCTGGCAGTTGACCAATAATCCTTCACATACCACCTGGAGGCATTAAGTCTGCCAGAACGAGACCCTCGCTATGAATGGAGAAAATGAGGGTAAAATTAAGTGCTCATTTTTTTGTTAGAAGTATATAACTGACAGACAATTGTGCCATGGAAAGTGTAGGGGATATTATTAAAAGTAATTTTAACGTAAATGTGTGTTATGCAAAGGTCGCAGGTTCGGTTCCTGCCCATGGCAAGTTATCTTTTCATACACTTTTCTTTCTGCACATTTACATTGCAATTACATCTGATAATATCCCCTATGCCTATCTTAGCATAATTGTCTGTCACTTCTCATTAGCATTGGTTCTAACAAGGAACCCTCAAGTTTACCCTTAATTCCTTCATTGTATATGTAGAACACATAAAACTACTATTACTTTTCGTATTTTTCTCATCTGCTGGTGGGAAGTGTTCATTATCTATATACTTACTTATGTGCAATCAATTTTTCTTCGAGAGAACATTTGCCTTCCCAAACGCCTCTGAGCTATTGTAGTATTCCGTAATGCAGAAAGTGGCAGTCACTCGCGTAGAGACAAAATTATTGGCTAGCTCATTCCAAGAAAACTAAGCTAAAGTGCACTGATAGCTGCAGTAAATGTTGTCATTTGGTAATCTCATTATAAGCCCAACGTGTCTTGTTTTATACATCAGCGATCGCACCTTCCAGAGTTATTGCTGGTGCTTGCGTAAGCTCTTTGATGAACTAGAGTGTATCGTGTGTAATCTGGATAGTAGTTGTTCACTTCCCAAAATCACTATATGATTATGAGGAATGTAGTAGTGAGTGGCTCCGTAAATTTTGACCATCTGGTCTTCTTTGACATGCACCTAAATCTAAGGCGTTGGGCCTGCCCCGCCGCGGTGGTCTAGTGGCTAAGGTACTCGGCTGCTGACCCGCAGGGCGCGGGTTCGAATCCCGGCTGCGGCGGCTGCATTTCCGATGGAGGCGGAAATGTTGTAGGCCCGTGTGCTCAGATTTGGGTGCATGTTAAAGAACCCCAGGTGGTCAAAATTCCCGGAGCCCTCCACTACGGCGTCTCTCATAATCATATCGTGGTTTTGGGACGTTAAACCCCACAAATCAATCAAGGCGTTGGGCCTGTAGCATTTCGCCTTCATCGAAGTGTGGCTGCCACAGCAGGATTTGCGTATGGTCTTAACAAAATAATCCGAGACGATCTTGGAGACCAGGAAAAGTGGCACAGCTTGTGCTGAGTGGTGATCAGTTTGTTGTAGTTTAAACGCAGTCACACCGGAATAAAAAAGTAGGAGCGCGTTGCAGTGTAGCCGTGTGAATCGTCACCGGGCAGCGCCGTTATCTACGCTATTGCAACCTATAGACCTATTCCATGTTTGTCATGGCACGTTGCCCACGCCCAGTTGTCTCGGCTAAAAGCGCGCCACCATCCTTTTTGATCATGTGACAACTAGCGCAGCAGGTGCACAAGCTGCCTTCGAGAACA